AGTTTCACTTAGTCACATTCCCACATTGTTCCTGGAGCTAGGTCTATTTCTCCAGCTAAAAATGGTTCCCGGAGCTAGGATCATTTCTCCAGCTCAAATGTGGAGTTCCAATGCACAAACGTGTGTCCACCTTAACTTCCTTCTAAACCAGGGGTAGGCAACCTTGGCTCTTTTATGACTCGTGGATTCCCAGAATTCCTGGGCCAGCATGGGGGAACTATGGCCCCCTCATGACTCGTGGACTTCAACTCCCAGAATTCCTGAGCCAACATGGCTCAGCTTGGAAACCTCTCCCTTTCCCCTCAGCATGGCTGGCTCAGGAATTCTGGGAGTTGAAGTCCACCAGTCATAAAAGAACCAAGGTTGCCTACCCCTGTTCTAAACCGAATTCCTTCTAGATCCCTCTTACCTCCCTCCTCAACCGCTAAACCCCTTGTACTCATGCTCACCTTCCTCCGAGAAGTAGGAACGGAGTAGATTTTTCTGGGTGTTCGGCGACAGAGCCAGGATGTTGATGGAGGCTGCATCAGTGACGGACCCCCCAAATCCTTTTATTCTCTGATACCGCTGGGCCGTCTCCAAAATCAGAAGAGTATCTAAGGAAAGGAAGGGTGCAAAGGAAGAGTTACACTGAGGCAACAGAGGTGGCCTAGACATTTTATAAATACATACATAAAATAAAGACCATTACAACTGGAAGCATGTTATTATTATTATTGATTTAATCTTCAATTCGATTCGATTCATGGTCTGGGACTGGTAAAACCTTAATAGTTCAAGTCCTAACAAACAACCTAATAGCTGCTAAGGTAAAGTCTGAGTATATAGGCATTACATATTATTATTATTATTATTTATTATTATTATTATTATTATTATTATCATCATCATTATCACAGTCAGCCAGATGTTTAGACTGGATTTGGCATTTTTGTCCACTTATTAAGTCTTTACCAAGGACCTGGGATAGGCTGCTATTATTATTATTATTATTATTATTATTATTATTATTATTATTATTATTATCATCATCATCATCATCATCATCATCATCATCATCATCATCATCATCATCATCACAGTCAGCCAGATGTTTAGAATGGATTTGGCATTTTTGTCCACTTATTAAGTCTTTACCAAGGACCTGGGATAGGCTGCTGCTATTATTATTATTATTATTATTATTATTATTATTATTATTATTATTATTATTATTATTATTATTATTATTATTACCACAGTCAGCTAGATGTTTAGACTGGATTTGGCATTTTTGTCCACATTAAGTCTTTACCAAGGACCTGGGATAGGCTATTATTATTATTATTATTATTATTATTATTATTATTATTATTATTATTATTATGAAATATGAATCAGTTGCATCTGAATTTTGATCACATGACCCTGGGGATGCAGCAACAGAACTAAGTGTGAAAAACTTTCCGTCCTGTTGTAACTTCAGTCACTAAACGAACTATTGTAAGTCAAGGACCACTGGTACTGTTTAAATTAAATCCTGCCCATCTGAGGTGAAATTGTTTCTCCGCTTCCTTCCCCAGCGGCCAGCTGCTCGGGCTGGGGAGATGGGACTTGTAGTCCTGACACCTCCGCGGGAGAAATACCTGGTTTGGCCGTCGGCTTCTGAAAATAGCCTTCTCGGCGTTCCAGCCGGTTCCCAGATTTGCTGCTTTCATACACCACAAACTGACCCAAAGGGGGGAGAGAGACGGGATCTTGCGTGTCGCAATACGTGCTGTTACAAACGCACACAACAGCGTGGTCGCCAAAATATTTCGGGATGCAAGCTCGGCTTCCTGAATGGAGAAGGAAGGGAACGATTTTTACGAAAATCGACAGAATAGACAGATGTAGAATAGACATTAGGAATATACAGGTGGTTCTCGACTTACGACGGGCCTTTTAGCGACCGTTCAAAGTCACAAAGGGGATTCGGGCCCGTTTTGCACACTTACAAAAAAAAAAAAAAGCAGGAAGTGCTAGTTTGAATTAAGGATCCGCCTTCTCCTCCTGTTCTTGTTGTCAAACAAGGCCAGGTGTCAGGTAGGAATGCCTCCCTCTTACAGCAGCTAAATACTTTGTTTAAAGGTAGACTGCCTTTCAACATGGAAGCTCCACAGTTCCATGGAGATTTACAACAAACTCGGGTTTTCCCCCCCCCCTTTTAAACTTAGCCAAAACAGTTCACACACAAAGCCAAATCGGACGAAACTGCGTGCAGGGTCAAAAGAATTTTTGTAGGAAGGCAAAATAAATTTTCCCCCAAACTCACCCGTTGCTGTCTTGGCCACGGCCAGCAAGGAGACCAAAGCGAGAAGCCGGCCTGCCACGGACGCCATAATCCCACCAATGTCTCACGCTGGGTTGCAAAATCAGGAAACTAGGAGATGAGAGACCCCCCCAAGGTGGTTCTTCGTACCTACAAAAACCCCTGAAACAAGGACAGGAAATTCCAATTTTTTTAACAGCTAGCTGCCCATTCAAATCAAGTAGCAAATCAAAGTGACTCTAAAAATTCACAATCTTCAGATTTACTAGTCTGAGCCTTAAATATTCATAAGGACAGTGATTATAGAGGAAAGGACTAATCAAGTCATTTTAAACATCACCATTCCTTGTTTTTTCAGACCGCATGGATAGCCTGTTCAAAACTCCTTCTATTTATTTTTAAGCAACTTCATTGAGTTGTTTTGAGATAAAATAGAAAGTGACAGAAGGAGGTTGGACTAGATGACCTCCGAGGTCCCTTCCAACTTTATCATTATTATTATTAAAGGAAAGAAGGAAAGAAAAAAGAGAAGAGAAACAAAAAAAGAAAAGAGAAAAAAGAAAAAAGAAAAGAGGATCTAAGGGGGGCAGTTAAAAAGAGTGACTTCTGACTTTCTTCAGTGCAGACACATATATGCAAGAAAAGAATCCTTTAGTCTAAAACAAAAATAGCATATAGATAATATGCAGAGTAAACAATAAAAGAAACGTAACAAAAAAAACACCACTTATTGTAAATTTAAGCATAAACCTTAGGAATATACAATGGGTATGTGGCCCTTTTGTTACGTAACAAAATACAACAACATAATAAATGTATGTAACAATATGGAATAAAATAACGACTTAATCTAAATTTAAGCATAAACCTTAGGAATATACAATATGCATATATGGTCATTTTGTTATATAGTTTCATTAAAATTACATTCGTAACAAAATCTAATTACCAAACCGAAAAAAGAAATTCCTTTTTATTTTTCTGAAGCAGGAAGTTCAGACAACGGTCTCCCGTTAGAAAAAACAAAGCGAGATAAACTTTTTCATCAATAAATTTCTTTCATCCAAGCCATTAATTTTGCCTTCCCTACCTGTTCTATTCCTTTTACCAATCCACTCATTTGTGGATGTACACCTGGGTGTATAAAAAAAAGTCTTGTCTGTTGGGATCCATGGGGGAAAAAAAGTCCCTTATTTTCTTTCAATCTGCTTCTCCCTGCTTTATTTTTTTAATTCTTTAACTTATTCTTTATTTTTTTTTTCATCTTTTTAAAAAACAGCTAAGCCTTTCCAAACAACAGGACTCGGTTTAATATCCTGGATCAGCAGCTAAAGGAAGAAAAAAGGCAGAAAAACAGAAGAATCAACACACACACACACACACACACACACACACTATTTTACTCTACATTTTGTTATATAGTTTTATTAAAATTATACTGTACTCTTTAAATATACCTGTCTGTATTTCATAAAAGGACACAATAGTTCAACAATCATCACAAATCTAACTATAATCTAATCATGTAACGATGAAACTTAAAACCAGAACTTCTTGTCTTAAATCCACATCTTGAGCCTTCTTCTCTGTGATGCTGCGGGGTTCCCATCACACACACACACACACCCGCCTGAGCTGGCTCAGACCAATGGGAACTGGAGTCCCCCCAGAAAACCTGAGGTAGCAACACACCAAACTAGTTTTGTCTTGCCAATTTCAGATCTGCGGCCTTCAAACTCAGCGCCCATCGCCTTCTGAGAATTTAGTCTCAGAGAGGAAGGAGAAACGATTAGTAGGGGCTGGTTAAATTTGAACTCGGGACCTGTCGAATTCCCGCTTGACAATTTTATCCACTGGGTTCTCCGTTGCCTTCCTTTTGACCCAAGTGTAAAAAAAAATAAATTCCTTTTTGCCTTGGCCAATTTCCAAAGCAGTTTTTTTTTTAAAAAGCAAAACTTGTAATGCTTTTGCAGGAAATCTTTTATACCCTTCATTAAATCCTCCGGCCTTTTTATCTCCACGCCTTGCCTATTACAACACCACAATTATCCTCTTAACCAGAAATGATACAGGGAACAACCTGCCTCCAGAAGCAGTGAATGCTCCAACACTGGAAGTTTTTAACAAGAGACTGGACAGCCATTTGTCCCAAATGGTATAGGGTTTCCTGCCTGAGCAGGGGGTTGGACTAGATGACCTCCAAGGTCCCTTCCAACTTTTTTTTTTAATTATTATATTATTATTATTATTATTATTATTATTATAATAATAATAATAATAATATAATTATTATTACTATTATTATAAAAAAACAACCCAGAGGATTAGAATCACAGTAGCAGAAGAGGGATTTTTTCCCCCACAGATAAACTCAAAAAAATTTTTTACACACGTTGGCTGTCTCTCCCTTGGCAGGGAGTGAATTTTTCTTCATCTTCAAAAAGAAAAACCACAAAATGGCTTATGGGAAAACGCTCGTTTTCATTCCCAGCTTTTTGAGAAAACAAAATAAACCCCTACCAGAAGATGGACAGACCAGACCTCCTCCGATAAATATGATTTTTAAAGAACCACCTTCGAATCAGTCAAGACAGAACACGGAATAACACGGAGTTAAACGAAGATCGTTTCCTTCGCTTAGCTAGGACTAAAATAAAAAATAAAAAATAAGAATAACCTTTGTTTTTTTTTTGTTTATTTTTAGTCCAGCGTTAGAAATATACCAAATATTTCTATTCCTTAGTTCGGGGTTTCTGTTCCTTAGTCACGACCAATAATGCAGCCCCAAATTTCTGTCGCTAAGTGAGACGAGGGTTATTTTTGCTCCATTTTATGACTTTGCTTGCCGCCGTTGTTCACTGAATCACTGTGTGAAGTTAATGATACAGTTGTTAAGTGAACCTGTCTTTCCCGTGGACATTGCTGGACAGATGATCGCAAAAGGGGATGACGTGATTCCAGGACACTGCGACTGTCATAAATACGAGTCAGTTTCCGAGCGTCTGAATTTTGATTCTATTCTATTCTATTCTATATTCTATTCTATTCTAATCTATATTCTATATTCTAATCTATATTCTATATTCTATTCTTTTCTATTCTATATTCTATTCTATATTCTATTCTATATTCTCTCTTCTCTTCACTTCTCTTCTATATTATATTCTATACTCTATTCTATTCTAGTCTATATTCTATTCTATTATAATCTATATTCTATATTCTAATCTATATTCTATATTCTATTCTTTTCTATTCTATATTCTAGTCTATATTCTATTCTATATTCTCTCTTCTCTTCACTTCTCTTCTCTTCTATATTATATTCTATACTCTATTCTATTCTAGTCTATATTCTATTCTATTCTATTATAATCTATATTCTATATTCTATTCTATATTCTATACTATATTCTATTCTCTTCTATATTCTATTCTATTCTATATTATATTCTCTATTCTCTTCTCTATTCTATTCTCTTCTATATTCTCTTCTATTCTATATTATATTCTATATTATATTCTCTCTTCTCTTCTCTATTATATTCTATATTATATTCTCTCTTCTCTCTTCTATTTCTATTAATTCTTATTCTATTCTATTCTAGTATTCTATTCTATTCTATTCTATTCTATTCTATTCTATTCTACTCCATTCCATTCCATTCCATTCTATATTTTCTATTCTATTCTATTCCATTCCATTCCATTCTATATTTTCTATATTTTCTATATTTTCTATTCTATTCTATTCTATTCTATTCTATTCTATTCTATTCTATTCTATTCTATTCTATTCTATTCTATTCTATTCTATTCTATTCTCCAGCAAGAAACATATTGTTCAGCCCTCAGCACACAACTGGAATAGCCGCAGGAAAAAAAAAATGCCTTCGCAATCCCAAAAGGATATTTTGAAGTCAAATGTCCCAAATTTGCACAATCCTAGCAGGAGCGCCTCACTTCCCAGCATCAAACCACCCAAGCGTGGCTTTCCTCAACTGCGTAGTACAAATCCAGCGTGCGAGTTTATGATCCTCTTAACTCTTGCGCAAACCCCCATCAATTGCACAGCATCAATGTAGGTTAATGTTAACGTAGGTTTAGTCCTACATTCTCCAGTCCTGGCAGGAAAAAAAACAAAAAACCTGTCTGACTACAGGCAGTTCTTGGTTTACGACCCCAACTGGACCCAGGATTTCTTTTGCTAAGCCAAGGGGTTTGTTAAATGGGTCACGTCTGATTTTACAACCTTTTTGGCATGGCTGTTTAAGCGAATCGCTGCAGCTGTGAAATGAATTATATTAGAAGGACCGGCCATCAGTCACTTGTTTCAACTTCCAACCACCGCTAAACAGATGGTTGTTAGGTTGAGGGCTAACTTCCTCGGCAAGGTTTTTCAGATGTAGTTTGCCACTGCCTCCTTCCTAGGGCTGAGAGAAAGTGGCTGGCCCAAGGCTGGCTTTGTGCCCAATGAAGCATTAGAACTCACGGACACCCAGTTTTTCGCCCGATGCCTTTAATCAGGGCACCAAGCTGGTGCTAAATACAAACTAGGTTAGTCAGCTAGCCTTTGGCCGCCGAGTTCCCCATAAACGCAGCCCTTCCGCCAGATGTTGACGCAGAAAGGAGGCAACTGCGAGTAGCCAAAGGCTTGGAAGAAGCCTTCTCATTCATAAAGAAAATTTGGCATAAATAAGATGAATAATTGAGTAATTAAAAGCGTTGGTCTACACAGGATGAGGGGGGGAGTGGGGTGGCAATTCTCCCTTAAGAGCCTCAAAACCAGCTGAGTATCATCCATCATTTTTTTCCCTCCAGCGCTTACGAAAACAATCCCAGCAAAAAACATTGTTTGAAAATCCCGCTCAAAAAATAGCCTGGACATCTCTGCATCAGTGTAACCACATAGCTAAATTATAAAAGCAATGTCGTGGCATCAAGCCAGGCTGAGACCATGTCCTTCAGCATCCTTCATTAAAAAAAAAAACTTAATTAAGACGATAAAAG